CAACTTTGACCAAAAATGGATTATCTGAAACAACCAATTTACCTGTTCATCTGTTTTATGGTTCTGAATGACTTTTAACATACTTCAAAACTAAACTCTTTGCCCTTGTTTCTCAACCATCCTCAAAGATTGAAGGCCCACACTGCTGAATATTTATAGACTTTAAATGTTTTTCAGGTTGCTAAGGACATTTCAAAGGGAGAGATCCAAAGACATTTTCAATATCAGTAGCAGTGAAATAAGTGGATAATTCCCAATAGTGAACGCTCTCAGGAAAGAACATAACTTAGGTATCTCCTCTTAAAATGTTTATCAAATGGTGGGTCAAGTTAACCTACAGCTGTGCTTCGCATGTGTTGATGCTCAATGTATGCGTTTGGGTATTTACAATCTTAAGGTCTCTTGCACATTTTAAAAGGAAAATTAAAATTAAAAAACAGGCAGAAAAATTAGCATGTAAAATGCTTTGGGAAGAAACTTTTGCTGGGAAAGTATAGGGAGATTTGACAGGTTTCCTCATACAGAAAACATCAGTATTCAGTAAAGAAAATGTTACGAAATGTGATTACATTTCAATATTTCTAAGACATTGAAAGGCACAACTAAAAGCTAACATGTCAGGAATCTGAACAATTTTAAAATTCATTTATTCTATAATTTCAAAATACATTTTACTCAATTTATGTCAATTTACAGAAAATTTGGGGTTCGGTTTCAACTTTGTCAACTTTAAATTTACGTCTTAGCGAAATACTCCTGAAACTGCTTTTATGTATCATGTGAACGCTTTATTTTGCTGTTTACCACAGAAAATCCAGGACTCATGAATACACCAGCCTTTTGCTCCTACAGCGTGAGTGCAGGCACTCTTTAATAATTCAGTGACTGTCTATAATGATGAAGTCATACCGATGAGCTCAACAGAAAACATTCCTAATACCAAGCAGAACTTAATTGGACTAGTAAGCATGATAGAGCAATAGAAATAAATTCTAACTGCTCGAAATGTTTTTCTTTTTCTTATGCTTATGCATATTTCTTAAAATTATAGTGACAGCTTTTCCTTTCTTTGTTGGCATACATGACAGCTAGGCACATTCTGAAGCAGGTACAAGACATAAATGCTTTCCTATTCAAGTCAAGATGATGAGTAGTCCTTGTACAGTGATGGGCAGGCCTCCATCATTTTGCATAAGCTATCCCCTGGGACAGCTATCACCATACCCTGTTACTACGCTACCATTTTATTCTCACTTCAAACAGTTATTCTTCAAAGGTCATCAGCTGAATGGCACTTTACTTTTTTAGATTCACTGACAAGGAATGAAAGAAAAAGTCAAACATAACAGAACAAAATCACTAATAAATTTAACATAAAAATGAAATCTAATACTTTTAATATGGTATTTTTCACTTTTGAATAATGATAAAGTATTAACTATTAAATAGAACTATGTAAAACAACTTGAGAGAGTAATGAGTCATTTTCATAAATTTATAGGTATGGTGTATTATAAAATGTATTATGGCCAGACTTAAGGAGGTTAATTAAAAATTTCTACTATAATCAGAACAAAATAAAAGTCTCTACTGTAGTTTTATATCTTTTATTTCTTTTGGTATTCTGTTTCTCAGATAATAATGAATCAAAGTCATGTTCAAGTTGCATAATTAGAGAACAATTTTGACAGTTTATTGAAAGTGACATGACTTACAACATAGTTGTTTTGAACTGAGATATTTACTTGAAATTCTTTATAATGAAAGAGAAAAAAAGAACATTAAATTCCTCCAAAGACATAAACTAATGAGATTTTTTTCAAAGGTATGTGAAAATTGCCATTATGTAGAAAATTAATTTTAAAGGGGTATACTTTTAACATTCTAAACTGTAACATACTTTTGTGAAGAGTGGTAAGAATTCTTTAAAAACAATATATTTAAACCTGGAAATTATAATCTTATAAATGATCAAAGCCAAATAAATATCCTTTCAGTTATTCTTAAGTTTTCTACATACAAATAATCATACCATTGCCTAGAATTTTGAGAATAACGTATTCATTTGTGGCAAACTGAATGAAACTTCACCTTCCTGGATTCCACTTAGCTTATTTCCAAATGAAGAATGAGGTCAATTGATTTATACAACTGGTACAAACCCCAAGAAGGCTGCTAAAAGAATTTCCCCCAAGAAACTATAAAGGTTAGCTAAGAACCCTATAATGTCCTTCTCTGATGGTGGGGTTTGGGACTCATTCTGTGACCTCAGACACCAGAACACGACCAAAGAGCAAAGAGATGAGGCATTGGAGAGGCTGCCTCCACTGACTAGATGGCTTCTTACTCAAAGGGACAGAGAGAGTCCCAGGGTTACAGCTGAACAAACGAGTTTACTTATTTCCGTATCACTGTTCCATTCCATCAACTAGTGTTCAAGTTTCTGCCTGTTCCTGCTATCATTTGGATCTTGAACATGTCCCAAAGGCACTTGTTGTAGAATATTAGTTAAAAATGTGTTACATTCTTTCATGCTGTGGAATATTTGTTTAATGATGCAAAGTATGTGTCATTCTTTTATATTGATGTGTTTAATTCTGCAAAGCTGCTTTACTTTGCCTGTCTAAAACACCTGATTGGTCTAATAAAGAGCTGAATGGCCAATAGCTAGGTAGGAGAGGCATAGCAGGCAGACAGAATAAATAGGAGAAAAAGAGAAGAGGAAAGAGGGAGAAAAGAAGAAGAGGAGGATCCCAGGGCCCAGACACCCAGCCACAAAGCCAGACAAGGAGGAAGAAAGAAAGAAAAGATATACAGAAATAGAGAAAAGATAAAAACCCAGAGGATAGGCCCGGTGGTGGTGGCACACACCTTTAATCCCAGCACTCCAGAGGCAGAGGCAGGTGGACCTCTGTGAGTTCAAGACCAGCCTGGTCTACAAGAGCTAGTTCCAGGACAGCCTCCAACGTCATAGAGAAGCCCTGTGTCAAAAAACCAAAATAAAAATAAAAATGGAAAAGCCCAGAAGATAACTTAAGAAAAGCTGTGGCCTCTGTAAGAGGTGACCTACACACAGAAGGTCTGGTAGAGTATCTTCTATGACGTTGTCATGGAGTATCCAGCAGAGTGCGAGCAGCTTTTCTCTAACACAAAACTTTCCAGCATGATGTCCCAAAGACATGTGACCATTAGCTAATGGCTCTAAAACTGTGCGCTAAAATAAACCTTTTCTACATTCAAGTCAGTTATTTTTAGGTCACTTGTGACAGCAAAAGAAAGTTGATGCATGAGAAAGTTAGTAAAGCCACGCTGGTGGCATGCACCTTTAATTCCAGACCTTGGCAGGCAGAGGCAGGTGGAACTCTGAGACTTCAAGACCAGCCTGGTTTATGCAGTGAGTCCCAGGACATCCAGGGCTGCATAGAGAAACCCTGTCTCTGAAAAACAAAAACAACAAAAAAGAAAAACTACTAAAAGAATGATGCATAATAAAGAAATCAGTTTTTGATCCAATGCAAGACATATCTTGCTTCATGTACACATACTGAGTTTTCCTAGCCTAAAAAGTCTAGCTTTGTCATGTGAGACAAAAACCCTAAATATATACAGAATCAGGTTTCATTTACCCCTTTACCACAGTAGATGATTTTTAAGTTTTTGATGTTGCAATCTCTCCATCCTGGAGTTCATCTGGAGACAACAAGTTTTATATTGAGGTAATACTGCAAGCAGAACGAATTTCAAATCTTTGCCTAACAAATGGAAATTTAAAAAAACACAAAACAGTTGCTGCTTTCAATCACAGATTTGCTCTTCTTGTCACAGGCATCCAGGGCCCAAAGGATATTATATCATGGGGAAAGGAAATTTTGGCAGCAGAATGTTGGCTACCAGGGTATGAGTATATGGGGTGTGAAGACTAGAAGTCACACTCTCCCCAGTTATGTCCATGGTGTGACTATCTTGCTCAATATGGCCCATGTCAGCATTGATCTGCCAACAAGGAGGCCCTGAAGGAAAAGGAGAGTGCCTCCTGAAGCAGCTTACCAAGGCATGAGAGTGGGATTCAATGTGAGCTTCATGTGGGTAACAAGGAATCAATGACTAGCAGTAGGTTGTGCGCACAGTTCGTTGAGGAACTCACTGGCTGGCCATGATCTGGAAGACACTCCAGCCGCACACGTTAACCAAGGGTAGGTGACTGTGCAGATGAACAGGATATGCAACACGGTCAGGCATATCTCTTGTTCTCAGCCCAGGAAAATTAAGGGAAGGAGGAGGGGTGGAAGTAAGGGCTATTGCTCATTCACTCTTGCTTCACAAAACTGAGTGCATTTCCTGGAAACTATCATGCCAAATACTACCAGAGCTAATAAGTGACCAGCCAATGTGGGAAGAGTTCATAAAACAATTGTTAATGGATAAACTGAGCATTATCAAAAGTTAATGAAGAAACCATTCAGTATTGACACTAACATGGTGTGTTTTTATTATATTAAAATCATCTATGCTGAACTATAAGAGCTTTCATATCTTATATTTTGGAAAAAGAAATATGCACATGTTTTTTAAACCTATCATTGATTTGATCAAAATTTCATCAAATTCTAATAACATTTTAATCACTTCAAATTTACTACTAGAGGGAAACTGAATAATAGAGGTCTTTTATAAAAATAAATGTGAACAAAATTAGAAATAAAGCATTTATTGTCACTGCAACAATGGGAAAATAGTACCTAACTAACATTATCATAAGGTAAGTCAATAAAGCTGAATATGGAAACTGATGTGTCAAATATGTGAATATGTAATAGTTATAACACTTTCTGTCCAAAAGCAAGAATACAAGCTAACTAGGATGCAGATTTCTCAAAATTTAAAAACAAATGAAAAAGTAAACTCAAATCTTACATAATAACAAAATCTTGTTCAACTCCTACAATCTCAAATTAGTAGATAAGTCATAATATCTAAGTAATAAATACTCTACAAAAATATTCAATGGAATTACAAATTTTTAACTTAGAGGAATTTTGATGTTCACTCATTCTCAAAGAGTATGTAGACATCATTAAAATCCCAGTGGAAGCCTGAAAGGAAAAGGACACAGTAATTACTGGGCGTTAACTCTTACATCGCACGTTCTGATCGTAAGTCTTAAAAGTTCAAGGCAACACATTTTTTTGTAGAAATGTAGTATTTTCCAAGCCAGAGTTTATCACTTGAAAAGCTTGTACATGGTCACAATGATTATAAATTCAAATTAGTCACGCACGCCGGAGTAAATTGAGACTGAAAAGATTCTTCAACTAACCAAGCAAACATAGATGATTGATTTTCCTTCTGCGGACATGAAAGGGAACACATTGAGTGATTGTGAAGGATGGCATTTACCAAGCCCACACTGAAGCCTGAATGCACACCCAGTAGAAAGATTCCTGAACATGGCAGAGGAGGAACCTTCTTTTCTGAATGGATGCAATGAGAAAATTCAGGAAGCAGCCATGGCGGCCCCCGAGCACAATTTCTCAGCTGCATTAACCCACTTCTCATCCAAACCACAAGCCCATGGCTTTGCTTTTCCACCTAAAATGCCTGCTTCCAAAGAGTCCTCAGTATAAGTCCAACTGAAAATCACCCCCCACCCCCGTTATGTCTAGGGCAACCTTTGCTTCTTATAACAAAACCAACACATTCCGATGCCTGTCTGTGTGGGGTATTCACCCTCTAGGCTCCCTCTCTTCATAACCACATTACCTGCTATTCTATCTCCCCACTCCCCTCCAAGTTGACCCCATATCATAATTAGGGTGTTTTTGTTATTGTATGCTGTTTACACATAACAATTATAAAATCATCTTTAACCTCATTTGCTTTCTTTGTGTCCTCTCCGCCCACTATCCCCCCAAGTAGTCCCATTTCTACTCCGATATCTTTTTTAAAATCTAGACTCTATGCATGAGGTGTGTGGTATTGGGCTTTGACTGAGCCCCACTCCTTCAGGGATACCGTCCTACTTATCCCACGTGACCACTCGGTTCTCCCCTTTTTATACATTAGTGGTGCCACACTTTCCAGGCATCTTTCTTTGCGTCTTTCTCTTGTTTCATCCACACTGGAAGGTGCCCACTCCCTAAGGATCGAGAGCTTTGCCTGTCCTGTCTATTCCCAATGCTTGACACACAGGGGGAAGAAAACAGTTATTCAATCAATTCCCTCCCACTCTGGACTAGCCCACTCTAGCTTTCTTCAGTTCCATGGGAAAATAAACTATTCCTCATTGTCAGTCAAATCAGTGTGCAGAGACTACACTGTGAGGTGCAGAGTCACACCTACTGTGTGCTCCGAGCCTCTGGTGTGCTTCACACGCTACCAGATTTCTACCTCAGCCATGTGGACATGCAACCATTTCAATTTCTGTTCCACAGGCAAGGAAATGGAGATGCAGAGAGGTTAATTATGTGCCTAGCAGTGAGTATTCTGCCTTCCACAAGGCAAAGTGCAGTATCTATCCTCCCAGGAGTACCAGGAGAGAGGGGGAGATAATGTGAGCTGGGCATTCAAGAAGGGTGTGTGTGTGTGTGTGTGTGTGTGGCTTTAGTTATTAGGGAAATACTCTAAGGGAAGATAGTAGGGATGTGAAAGGAGAATTAGGGTAATTGCTTCCTACTGAAAGAGGAAAAAAAAAGTTGTTTCTTCTGCTCAAGAAATTTCAGTACTGACGGCCTCCCGCAGGGACTAGGGAAAATGAAAGCCGAACCGGCGGTTCATGGAGGGGATTCTCCTAGCCACATTTGTAAAGGCAACACCCTTCTCCCCGCTCTATATAAATATGGGCAGCTTTTATTTTCATTCGTCGTAGAAATGGGCCGGTTTTGGTATTGACATTTTTGCATAAATACTTTTGAAAATACCACTGTAATTTAAATAACTATTGGAACTAATGCTTGTATCTTGCGTTGTGAGCCTAGCCTTTAATGGCTGAGCCATCTTCTTGGCCCTGGAACTAATTTTTATTTTAAGCACTGTGTGTGAGTGAGAGAGAGGGAGAGAGAGAGATTTAGAAAAGAGCTCAGTGTGCACAATTCTCCCTTGTTTACCTAACCAAAGACACGATGGTTTCCCCCTGTACTTGAGGTAGCTTGCCACCACCCCGTTTGTGGAAAACTGCGCCGCTGCGAAATTATGGAGCCCTGTCTGCTGTTCTCCTGTCTCCCTGGGTCTCTGTCTCCACCTCTCCCTCTCTCTCACGCTGAAATGTCTGAGAAAGTGCTAATAACCACCCAACTGTGGCGTGCTAACCGTCCTTGGGAAGCATGCAAGGGCGGAGGGGGCGGTGATTTGGCGAAGGTCTCTCCATTCCACAACCCCTGGGCACATAATGCCAGATCACAACATTCCTTCCCATAGCCCTAGGTGTTGCTTAGACTCCTTTACTGTCGGATGGCTTCCCGCAGCCAGTATCTTTTAAGGTAAACCATTTATTGTGTATGGCTGACCATTCTCTTAGTACGCAGAATGTATCCTGTAACTCAAGACCCTCTGGGAAGCTACAGTCTATTTTCAGCTGCCATAGAACCTATTATTTGGTGAAGTGCTTCTTAGTGCCTTGAAGCACGAATACTTGGAAAGCATTACTGCAGTTTAGAGAATAGAGTGTGTGAACAGCTTTTGCATGTACCATCCCTATTCTTTAGTCCTGAGCCCACTCACTCTAGGATTCCCGCTCCTGGTCCCCAGGCCCTCAGTGACACCACAGTCTGTCTCTGCACTCCTAGACTGGGAGCCTGGAAGGTCGCTCTCCCATCGCCTGTTAACTCAGTCCCCAAGCATGCTCACCATGGACTTCACCTAGAGCCACAGAGCAAACACCACCAGTTCCACTGCTCTAAGCTCCTGCTTGAAGCCTTCTTTCTGTTACCACACTTTCAACGCAAGGATTTCGTGCTTTTGTCATTCTTTCGCCAACATGGGCCGTGGGAAGAAGGTGACAGGGTCACCATCGAGAAGTACTACAGGCGCCGGGTAATGACTTCCGCATCAACAACGGCATGGCATTTGTGAGGAAATCGCCGTTATCCCAAGCAAGAAGCTCCCAACCAGACGGCAGCTAGGTCACGACTCAGGAAGCAGATCCAGGCAGGCCCTGGGAGTGGTGTTTCTGTCAAGTTGCAGAAAGAGGAAAGAGGAGAGGCAGCGTGCTCCTGAGGTCTCAGTCCCAGACCACATGCCCAGGTACATCCCGGTGCCACGGAAAAGCTGCCGCCTCTGGTCTCTGACACTTCACCCTGCATGCACTCAGCCTAGACTGGATGGTCTCAAACCACCAGCCACAGCCTTTTGAGTCTGTTCTGAAGTATTTTTAATAAACCTGGGAACGATTTTTTATAAACTCATCCCTTTCCTGGAAACTTTTCTCCATATTAACAGCATCATTACCTTCATTCAGGCAAGCTGGAAGCATCGAGTGTTTCCCCAGCGGCTCTCGTGATTGATCGATGGGGCTTGCCTGTTCTGACCTCAAACAGTCTTCGTGTCTTTCCCCACCTTTAAATTTCTTAACCCTTATTTGAGCTTTAATGTCTGGCGGGCTCCTTTTAGTTAATTTTCTTCCTGCCTCAATCTGTCCTCTTCGCTCACAACCTAGAACTTCCCTGCCTCCCCTCCCCGTTCAGAGACAACATCAAGCCCATTCTCTTACAGACTGTTTTGTCTTACCCATCTGAAAGGTCACATTCTTTCAAACTAAAGGTTGTGTACTGCCATCACCCTTAAAATAATGCTTCGATCCCTAGGTGTAGATTTGGAGGCTTACTGCAGATAAAGGAGCAAGTGCTTTCTCAATGCACAGTACCATGAATGACAGCTCAGGTTCTGGTAACAGAGTGGCCAGAGTGTGACAATGAGCAGGCCACCTTGCCCAGGAGTATTGGCTGAGGTGTTCTATCTGGTGCATCTGCCTGAGAGGCAGGCATATCAAAGCCGATCCCTGAACCATGGCCACGCTATGTCCCTGAGGAGAACACTACAGACTCAGAAGAAAGTGTCACCATTTCCTCTTTCACAGAAAGACCACATATACAAGGACTTAGTTCCTACGTGTGCAGTATGGATAATACTGGGTTCACCTAATGATATTGTCGTGAGGAGTCAATGAGTTAGTATGCATATAGACCTTTGAACATGACCAAAACATAAGCATGCACTGGGTGTCAGCTTGCATGTGCCTATAATTCAGTGAATAGTAAAATCGATTTATAATTCCTCATATACAATCTGTACTTTTCCTCCTTTCACAGCTCACTCAGCCTCCTCTCCCAAAACCCCCTATGCACAGACATAATTTCTGCCAGTAAATATGCTATTCCCTTCCTTGCTTAGCAGGGATGATTGCCTGCTCTAAGCCCTACCTAATCCCACATGTATATATTCTCCACCCTTTAACTTAACCCCTGGGCCTTGCAACTTACTAGGATACAGATGGTATTGTATAGACCTGTCTTAAACTTTTATCTTCCTTGAAGGATCTTAAGTGTCTTTTAATGTTTCTTTCTGAATTGTCTCACAGAATTACAGTATCATAATGGGCTCAAATATCTACAATAGGCATCATTTGTAGACTACCTACTATGCATCAGTTCCAAAACAGTACTTGACATATAGTATTCATTTCTCAGAAAATGTTGTCAATGTTTTCTCCTTTAATTCAAGAAGTCAATAGTGTAAGTAACTCTCTTAAATTGCAAACCAGACATACAAAAAATAATGGAAGCAAAGGTAATAAATAAAAATCCAAAATATGCATCCCTTTCAAAAAAGAATTTGAAGGAATTTATTACATGAAAATAAGCTTAACATTAATAGATAAAATTGATTATATTGATAAGGTAATATGTGAGCAATTGATGAAGAATATATGAGGAATTCATAGTCAATGTTTATCATTACTAATTTCACTAAATCATTAAGTTTTATTTTATACTCTATTGTATTCAAATGACTTGGAAAAGTCAGGATAAAATGCAGCCTATAGAAATAAGTAGGCAGCAGTCTGATCCCCTAAAGAATCTTAAACTAAACATCATTCACA